GGGCACCTCAGTCGTGGTATTGAAGGTGGGAGAGAGCGCTGTACATTCACTCCCCCCACCTACAATCCCTGCCGGTCCGAGACTCGAAGCCACAACTTTTGGGTTACGAGTCCGACTCTCTAACCATTAGGCCACGACTTCCCCCGCGACTTATATATACATATATATTATGTATATATATATAAATACACACACATACAGCATATATTTTGAAAATATTTACATATAAATTATATGAATATAAATATATACATTATATATAAATATGTTTAATATATAAACGTAACATATTTTTCTTAAATATATACATGCATGTGTGTGTATTTATATATGCATAATAAATATACACAGTATGCACGCATATATTATGTAAACAAAAACTTTTATTTTGGATGCGATTAATCGCGATTAATCGTTTGACAGCACTAATATTTATTTTATTTCAGTTAATGTTTGAATCATTCCATGTCAACTCAACCAGGGGGTCCCTGACTCAAATTTTTGAGTTTCTAGTGAAAGTAAAACATAAATGAAGAAAAGAGTCAAAATATTAAATGTCATGGATATATATTTACTGAGTAATCCAGTAGAAGAGGGTCAAAATTACAATTTTCACCTGAGATTCAGAGACAAATTACAGGATGGTAAAAATGACTTCAAAAAGATGGCAGCATCATTGTTATTCTTACACAGATATTGGTAGGTCTATTAGTAAAATCTGTTGACTTTAGTAATCTTTGTTGCTGTCTTCATTATATGCCAAGAGTGACAGTTCAAAAATGGGGGAAAAAATGACATTTTTTCTCCAAAGTTTGCATGCTTGTAACTCAAAAGACCTCTATCAAAGATATCTTAATACCCTTTTAGATTTAGGGTCTGAACAAACTTTCCTTTTGGCATCTTGATTTTTAAGGCCCTGTGTGGTTCATTTCCAGAGATACTGGGATATAAGTATGACTCCAGGAGTAAAATGTAAAGTTGTACACATTTTCAGTGGCCAGAAACCAAATGTGGTTTCACTTTGCATTCAGCTGATACTTTTTTCTTTTAAAGAAGAATGTCTGAAGAACAAATAATCTTGAAACTAGAAATGTACCTTGTTTCCCTGTTAAAATATTTGCATTGCTGTCCGAGAGCCATAAATATTATTTTTCCAAAGTTTGCTTGCCTGTAACTTGAGAAGTATTAAACATCTTACAAAATATAAATTTTACCCATTTTTACCCAAACAAACATGAACAATAAAAGTATAATTCTTTCAGCTTAGTTTAACACAGTTTTACCAGAGATTTCTGCAGATTGTCTCCCAAAATCAGGGCAGAGAACCCATAAAGAATTGAGTCTGTCTTGACAAGGTCGTTTTCAGAATGGATTGTGATTATTTTGACCCCTGTCTTTATTTTGTTCAGTACTCGGGAGAGTTTGTGCAGTCAGCCTACTTATCTAGACGACTTGCGTATTTCTGCACACGCCGGCTCAATTTGCTGCTGAGCGATGGCAGTCTCGGACCAGGTCCAAGCGGACACCCGGCCCACGGCATTTCAGCACAGCAAGGGAACGCTCTGCCTCCGACCCCAACCTCCCAGCCTGCAGGGGGCAACCAGCCTCAAACCCCCTTCACAGACTTCTACATCTGCCCCCAGCACAGGCCCGTGGTGTTTGGACTCAGCTGCATGCTGCAGGTAATGGCATACTAGAGCTGAAACGATTCCTCGAATACCTCGAGTAACTCGAATACACACCGGCCCTCCAGGACCGAGTTTGGACAGCCCTGGTTTAAATTATTCGGTTCATTCGCAATGACTCACTTATTAACAGTGACTTGCTGCCACCTACTGGCGGTTTCACATTTAAAGCATCTTTTAATTTTTAGAATAATTGTAAATATCAGTATTCAATGTTTTATGTTTAAAATAACAACATGTTATGAATGCATTTGTAACTGCAGGTTAATTGCATTCATGTCCCTGTGAGCTGAATTAAATAGTGTGTAAATAGGCCTACATCTAAATGCCTCTTCAGATGTAGCTTCTGTGTTTCTTCTGCATTGCAAAGATTAGTTTTGATACTGTTATCATTTGTTTGGTAACAGCCCAAATTGATTTTTGACAACAGTGAAATAGATTTTTGTATTTTTATTTATTTATTTATTTTTTTTATTGATATATTTGTATTAGCATTTTGAATGCAATTTGGCAATTAATTATTTATTTTTTTTATTGATATATTTGTATTTGCATTTTGAATGTAATTTGGCAATTAAATGCATTAAATGGGTTTAGATTTCACGGTTATTAATGTATGCAATTTCAGCAATAATAATTTTCATTTTTCTTAAAAGGAAACAAATTAGTTGTTTATTTTAAGAGACCTATCTTATTATCTCTTGTATATTTAGTATTGCTCTTTCATAAAGAAAAATAACTTCTTATCCGATTACTCGATTAATCGATGGAATAATCGGTAGAATACTCGATTACTAAAATAATTGATAGCTGCAGCCCTATGGCATACATTAGGGATGGAACGATTACAGATCGTTCATGATAGTTTATTCATGATAAAATTCCCCACGGTTAGTATTACCGTTTCATATGTTAATTATCATTAAAACCGTATTCGATTACCGCGATTTGAACAACTGAGGATAAACCCCAGCACAGGCCCGTGGTGTTTGGACTCAGCTGCATGCTGCAGGTAATGGCATACTAGAGCTGAAACGATTCCTCGAATACCTCGAGTAACTCGAATACAAAAAATCATCGAGGCACATTATTTCGTTTCTTCGTTTAGTCCATTTACTGTAACTACACACGGAACACCGCCTTTCCCCACAGACCATTATTACTGACGCACAACCCGATAAACGCTGGATCATAGATTGTTAAAAAAAAAAGCGCTGGACATATTTAAGACCGTAAATCAATACCGCGAGGGTTTAGGGTGCCATTTGGGACAGGGCCTAAGTCCCAGCTTGTTACCGAATGGATTGTAGGTTCAAAATAGGGATGAAACGATTAGTTAGTATTACTGTTTTATATTATAACTGTCATTAAAACTGTATTCGATTGCCACGATTTGAACAACTGAGGATAAATAAATACTGTCCAGCATAAAGCAAAGTTTTAAGTAACAGTCTCATGTAACAGAAAACATGGTGGAAAAGCCGGGATGTTTTAAAAGAGTGCTAAGGGAATTATACAAATGAATGTATGAATTAATTAATTATATGAATGTATCTCTGAAGGTTCTGTCTTCAGAAAAGATTTGCCACAGACCATTATTACTGACCCACAACCCGATAAACGCTGGATCATAGATTGTTAAAAAAAAAAGCGCTGGACATATTTAAGACCGTAAATCAATATGGTGGCTCGTTATGATGTCCCTACTTTAGCTATGATTTGTGAAAGAGTAGGCGCCATTCATGTTGATTGACACACTCCCCAATAAAGTTATATTTGTTTTCATCTTCGTTCCATGTAATACCTAATAAAGTAGTGTTCTTAATCGCAATGCTGCTTTGTTCACGGAGGTTACGGGAAACAGCTGTAATTCTACTGTTCCAGAAGCGCCACCTGCTGTCAGAGAGTGGATTTACAGAGAGTTACATTTACATTCAGCTTGCGTGCAGTTTTTGTCTGGCCAAAATATGGACCGAATTTGTGTACCCTGCTGTAAAATTTGACCGGTTGATGAAAAACAAGCTTATGTGGATTCTACAATCTCCTCATCCACCACCAGTGTGCAGCATCCACCTGGATGATGCGACGGCAGCCATATTGCGCCAGAACGCCCACCACACACCAGTTTATTGGTGGAGAGGAGACCAATCGTTGGTGGAGAGGAAACCAATCAGCAGATATGGGGATGGTTAGGAGGCCATGATGGTCAGAGGCCAATGGGCGAATTTGGCCTCTGGGGATTTTTAATGACCACAGAGAGTCAGGACCTCGGTTTAACGTCTCATCCGAAAAATGGTGCTTTTTGACAGTATAGTGTCCCCATCACTATACTGGGGCGTTATCTCATGACCCTCCAGGAAATCCCTTATATGGACAAAGGCATCGCTATTATAGCTGTAACTGAATAAACAGAACATATAAACATTTTGAATGATAAAAAAAAGACAATAAACACTCGACTGCGACAATATAGTTTATGTGTTATTCAAGCCATCTCTGGTATTTTCATAATAATTAAGTATATTTATAATCCATTGCTAATCGATGTATTCTTTTTAAAGTAGCCTATGGAACATATTTTCTGCCTCATTCTGTGACAAGAAGCCACATCAGATCACAAAAGGAAGCATTTGACTGGTGTTGTGGAGTAAAAAGTTACAC